AGTCCGAGACAGCCTGCGAGTCGCCTCACCATTGCTGCACCACTCCACACTCTCGCGACCCACCGATGACAACCTCTTGTTCTCTCTAAAAGCTTGAATACAACAAACGCAGCCCACCAACTTTAGAGAGAGGAGGAGAGGGAGTATAGAAACCCAGAAATCAACCTGAGAGACTGTGGAACCCTTTTTTTTAAACGGTACATTAATCTAAACACAAAAACGAAAACCCAGCTACGGGTAACCAAGTCCATAACACACCCTTCTGTACAATGGGTAAAAGGTGCAAACAGAGCTCCTACCTGATTCAAAATATATATATATATATATATATATATATTTTTGTTCCTGGCCAAAATGATGAGAAAACTTCCATAGCAATTTCTTATTACAAATTTTGTTCCTTACTTTTCAATTTCTTATTCTTACTTAAAAATTGAAAGTTAGAACAAAATTTTTTTTGTTACTTTATTAATTTTAAGTTATTACTACTCCACATCACCTAATTAATAATAATTTTTGCAGCCAAATTAAGGTTTCTCTTTCTTATGTAATTATTATTATTATAGATAATTATCTATTCATTACATAAAAATTATTTGTTCCTAAAAAAAATTATATAACATTATCTAAAAATTTTAACTTATCATAAATTTCTTAACCCCTAATTTTTGAAACCATAACCCTCATTTCTGATTTCACAATTTAAAACCGTTAATTGAAAAATGATTTCACATTCATCAATTCAAAACCCTAATTCAAAACTAAAACTCTCATTTCTGATTTCACATTCAATAGAAAACCATAACCCTCATTTTCTTATTTCAAACATAATATTTAAATTTTGCTAAACAGATGCAACATTCAACAGATTTCACATTGAACAGAAATCTGATTTCACATTCAATACAAATCTGATTGCACATTCAATAGATTTCACAATTATAAACAGATTTAAGATAAATATAAACCATTCAACATTCACATTCAACATATTTCTAAACAGATTTCACAAATATAAACCCTATCCCTAACCCTAATTTTAAATTTAAGATTTCACATTGAACAGATTATCTATAATTAAAATTCAACAAATTATCTATAATTAAACACATTCAACAACAAATTATCTATAACAAAAGATTTCACATTCAACAGATTATCTATAATTAAAATTCAACAAATTATCTATAATTAAACAAACAAATATAAACCCTAACCCTAACCCCACATTCATGAACCCTAACCCTAATTTATTCACAAATATAAACCCTAACCCTAACCCCACATTCATGAACCCTAACCCTAATTTATTCACAAATATAAACCCTAACCCTAACCCCACATTCATGAACCCTAACCCTAATTTATTCACATTTTCACAAACATAAATATATTCACAAATTTAAACTCTAATCCTAATTTATTCACAGTAAAGTAGATGATAGAAGCCATACCAACGAGAGAGAGAGACAGTACTGAATCAATCAGAGGGAGCTCCAGAGAGAGAGAGAGAGTAGCGAGCTCGAGAGAGAGAGAGAACAGAGAGTTGAGCGAGAGAGAACAGAGAGTTGAACAGTGAGAGAGAGACAGCAGTGGAAAGGAGAAAGCGTGAATGGAAAACACGGGGCTGGGGGGGTTTAAATAGAAGTTCTAAAATTGTGGTTGTGAACCACGATTTCACTTAAAGAAAAAAAATTTGCTCTAAACTCGTGGTTATGAACAGCGAGTTCAGAAGAAATCTATTTTTTGATGAACTCGTGTTTTGAAAAAGCGAGTTCAGTATGAAATCGTGCTTGTAAAAAGCGAGTTCAAAGGAAAAAAAAATTAATTAAACTCGCGTTTCGTAACCGCGAGTTCTTAATCAAACTCGCTTTTCATAACAGCGAGTTTCAAATTTGGCAGGCCTCGCGCAACAGGGGTGGAAAAGTGTTGAACTCGCGATTGTGAATCGCGAGTTAGCTCATTTTGGGAATTCTTCCAAAACTAGGCTTAGTTTAGGAATTCCTTTATTATTTTGGCTTATTTAGGGAAATGCCCCTGGTAATAACGCTCTTGACTCTCTAAAATCTGATCTTTTATTATATCAAGTTTTGAATTTATATATATGTATATGCATACATAGTGAAGTGTGATACTTTGCAGTCTAGCCTTTTCGAGCTCCAGAGAGAGAGAGAACAGAGAGCATGAAGCGAGAGAGAACAGAGAGTAAAGAGAGACAGCAGTGGGAGGAGAAAGCGTGAATGGAAAACACGGGGCTGGGGGGGTTTAAATAGAAGTTCTAAAATCGTAGATGTGAACCACGATTTCACTTAAAGAAAAAAAATTTGCTCTAAACTCGTGATTATGAACAGCGAGTTCAGAAGAAATCTATTTTTTGATGAACTCGTGTTTTGAAAAAGCGAGTTCAGTATGAAATCGTGCTTGTAAAAAGGGAGTTCAAAGGAAAAAAATTTAATTAAACTCGCGTTTCGTCACTGCGAGTTCTTAATGAAACTCGTTTTTGGTAACAGCGAGTTTCAATTTTGGCAGGTCTCAGGCGCCGGAGGTGGAAAAGTGTTGAACTCGCGATTGTAAACCGTGTGTTAGCCCATTTTGAAAATTTTTTCAAAACTAGGCTTAGTTTGGGAATTCCTTTATTATTTTGGCTTATTTAGGGAAATGGCCCGCCAAACGTAGCCTAAAGTTTTCCACACAAACAACACATCGTGAGAACGATCGATCTCTCTCTCTCTGTGGGCTCATCAGCGGTCGATTCCTAATACGTACTGATTATGGGTTTGAAAGATACTGATATTCTCGACGATTGCGATGGCAAAGCCTCGTCCGTGTCGTGCTCGATTTGCCTGGAGCTTGTCACCGATAACGGGGATAGATCCTGGGCAAAGCTTCGATGTGCACATCGATTTCATCTGGGTAAGTCATAAGTTTCTAGTCTTTTTTTTAATGTGGAATTATGTGTTTGTAATACAATCGGTTGAGATCTGATTAAATAATATTATTAGTTGATGATGTCTCTGTTGGAGGGGGTGATTTGGTGAGAAAATGATAAAGATGCGAAAGACAACTCTTTTTCTCATGTTTTGGTTGAGTGAGAAATGGTGAGAAATAGACAACTCTCTTATTAAGCTTATATTTCATTTCTCTATCAAAAGTGGTCAGATTTTGGTTGATACTAACATCACTGAATATTGTTATGCCTAAACCGGTTAGTTGAATTATTGGGATACATGATTTTTGTTTTATTGTTTGACAGCTATAATGAAATTTATGTTTGATTAAGATTTATAATACCAACTGAGATTAAGATTTGATTAAGATTTATAATGAAATTTATGTTTGATTAAGATTTATGTTTGAAATTTATGTCAGATTTCATTTCTCTACAACTAAAGATGCCATTTGGTCGTGTTTAACTAGCTGGCTATGTGAGTTCAATCACCACATTGTAGTATGATAAATGGAGTACTTTAGTCAAGAAGGCAATGCAAAACTGCATATTGGTCCATCGGACTCTTGAAGCTGCATCAAATGATTGATTTGATATTTGTGTGTTGTTTTCAACCCCCAAATATCCTAGATCTGAATGTTTGGATCTTTAATATTTTAGAGCTCTTCTGTCATTGCAACATCAAGAAGCAACTACTAGAATAGATAACGCTTGTACACACAATAGAGAAATCTTTTGATGAATTGTTGCTGGCAAGCCTCAAGAATATCTTTTTGTCTCAATGGGGCTGTGTAATTGAGATGCTGTAGCTTTATGGGGGAACAACTATAAATTGCCGCGTGTGGGGTAAAAAATGTTGATAAGAGAAGGTAATGTTTGTTTTTAACTTCCATCGCGTATGAGGTGTTGTGTGTTCCTTCAGCTGCAAGAATGAGAACACTTTTGTGACCAAGTTGGGTTCTATTTTGATGTTTTTAACTTTAGAGTTTAATTATACTTCTTCTATTATAAAGGCTAACCTATAGGCCTGTTTTAGCGCCTTTTCAAAGGTAACTTGTTAGGTTGGCTTTGGGAAGGCTACTAAGGACTTCGTGAAGAATGAAAAATGCCCACTAAGACGTAATCTTGTGATAAGTAATCTGGAGGGGTTTGTGTGTGTGTTTTAAATGTAACTTTTAGTTCGATGTTGCTCCTTCCCTTGTGGTCTACCTGTCTGTAGCCAATCTTTCCAATCCATAAAGAACCTTTTTAAAGCCACTATCCTATTGCAATGGAGATCTTGGTGTTTGAAAAATTTGTCTTTGTACAGGAAATGTTGTGAAGAAACAAGGACAAAATGCTTGAAGGCTTGTATACTGGTGTTATAGTAGCTCAACTTTGTATACGGATGGGTGTTTATTCACTTCCCCTTGTCCTCATGCTTCTTGGTTGTTGCACTTTGTTTTTTTTAGGGGTTCTTCCTGGAATTGGAATTGCCATTAAGTTCTCTTTAACCATAAAAACTAAAATAAAATAAAGTTATTTTGAATAACACTCTATGTTACATGGGCTCGGGTATGGGTGTCGGGTGAGGTGCGTATCCAGAGGTCGGACTCATCAAATCTCAAATTTAAAGGTACGTGAACTAGGCAAAAAAGTCATTTTTATATTTTGATTTATTGTAAATAAAATTTGTCTAACAAGTAGCTTTTGAATGACAAACATATTTGGTACTGAAGTAATTCTGGTCTCACTTTTTTAAATATGAAATCTTTACTTATGAACAAGTATGTATATATATATATATATATTTAAGAACATTTATCTCGTCCAGAAATGTCTACTTTGAATAGCATGAGTTGTCCTTGTGTTTGTTATAATGTTCAACTCAAAATCTTACTTGTGGTATTTTTGAACAACAATGCCGACTGGTTCTAATCGATAATTTCTAGCTACGTGGAACAATTCTCATGAAAAGCCGCTGAATGTTCCTTTCATTTCAGTATTTCTGAACACTGCTGTAGCCCTGTGATCACATTGTGACTTTGAACGAAAGGTTGTTTGCATGGCTATTGCATCGGATGTGTGCATTGAACTTAATTACTAGCCGTTTAACTGACATCTCATTCTGAAATTATGCAGCAACAAATACCTGCCCTTGCAGCACTGCAAAGTTTCAAGTATTGATGTGATTCTTAATGTTTTGTGAAATTGACAGGCTGATTTGTTTGAGCATGAACAATTTTCTTTTCATGTTCCCATTTCTTAATGAATAATTGCTAACAAGATGTCTCAACTCCTGTTCTGCTCTGTCTTATGTTTTTCATGTCCTTGTCACAATTGCTTTCAGATTGCATTGGTTCTGCATTCAATATAAAAGGAGAAATGCAATGCCCCAATTGTCGGGAAATTGAGAATGGCCGATGGCTTTTTGCGAGTGACTGGGCCCATGATGAGGATCTTTATGATCTAAGCGACTCTTGGATGGTAATAACAGGATCTTATTGACTTTCAGTTTATGCAGATTCTGAAATTTTAGCTAGTCATGTAAAACTACTTCCGTGTTATTTTTTCCTTTTGTGTGGATTGGTATCCTGATTGTATATCTGATATGAATCGTGCAGTTAACTAGTATTTTGGGGATTCGTTCAAAACTGTTGGACCAAGACTTATCCAAAAAAAAAGTGATTGGGAAAATTATAATAGTTGAAATGCCGTGCGCCCAATTGTGTGCTATGTTTAATTTGTTATTAGAATTTTATATTCTTGAGTTGCTATTATTTTATTCGCAAAATGCAAGACTCCTTAACTCTGGCTATTGGGTTCATCATTTGACTTCTCCCTTGTCCCTTTTAAGCAAGCTATGGTAGTGGAAGTGTTTTACCTTTTTATTTCTCATAGTATTAATCTTAACTAACACTTACATGATAAGAGGTTACATTGCTCATACATTATTTTGATGACTGTTTCTGAACCTATTTGATCCTAAAGCATTCTTCATGTGGGTATGTACGCCATTATAGTATTTCCCTTATATGTTATGTTTTCATTCGTTTATAATATTGTGTTACCTAGATTTGTAGGTTAAGAAGATGCCATTTGTTTTAGTATTCATACAAACCACTTTCTCACAAGTAGCAGGGACATGTATATGACACAGACACGCTGACGTAGCAATTTAAAAAAAAATGCAGGATACAACACAATGGAAGTCAAGTTGTAAATAATTAGTTACCAGGATCTGTAAATAGGGCACATTTGGACGAGTGTCCAACATGTGTTGTGAAATGCTGATGAGTGTCATTGTGTGACATAGACACACCACCTGCTTGGAAGTGTCTGTGCTTCTTGTTTTCAGACTAAGGCTTTTAATTTATTTTTATAACTACAGAGGGAAGTTGCATGTTTTCAGTAGGGTTCTAAAGGAGTCGAGTTGAGCTGAGTTTAAGGCTGCTCAAGCATATGTTACTATAATTAAACCTAATGTAAACTGCTATGCCATTTTACTCTTGGCTAGTTAAGATTTACCTCTTGAAGTTATGTACCTTGCTGTTTTCTAAGAAGCGCGAACATGGATATGGATGTGGACATGGGACACTAGTGGAGGCACGGACATGGCGGAAACACGGCAATAAAATATATTTTCGTATATTTTTATTTTCTATCTGGATTAATATTGCATCCACAAACAATCAATATTAACAAAAAGAACTCTAATTCTATATTTTTTAAGCACTTTTAAATTAACACTTACAGTTTATATTTTTTTATTTTTTATTTTTTACAGATGATCTATTAAGTATTTAAATCTACGAAGAAAATAATAAACATTCAACATTCATCAAAAGCACTAAAGAAAATGGGGGAAAAGACAACTTGGCATATCCCTAGTGTGTCCCCAAAGTGTCCCCGGTGTGTCACCTGAAAATATGTTAATTAAATAAGCGGACACGCCATGTGGCGTGTTCCATATGTGTTCCCACTGTGTCTGCTTGTCCCCGCCGTGTCCTTGTGTCCGACATGGATATGACACTTGTTTTGAAGTGTCAATGCTTCATTGTTTGTTTTAAATAGTACCTTAGTATCTATTTGGTGCATCTACAATAGTTATGTCATCTCTTAATTGAGATTTGAAGATTGAATTTTTTGTCACTGGTCTTGTTTTTATCAATAGTAATTTCCATTGAAGGTAAGCCAAACAACACTTATAAGGAGATCAATCCAACAAAAAGCTTACACCAAACTAAGGAATAAACCTAGTTCAAGAAACAAAGGAATAAGCCTCAAATGAAGCACCAAGGAGAAGCTATGTGTATATCAAGACACAAAATTCGTACTGCAAAGTAGAAGTCGATCAAAAGAGTTCGAAAATAGAATAAGTCTGGGATAAATACATAGGCTACATCCACACAGAGGGTAAGCTATAATCACACAAAAACAAAGACAGAGAAACACAAAAACCCTCAAACCCAAAATGCCTAGGCAGTGGCGGCGGATCTGGCGGCTGGAGGCAGCAAACTGGTAGAGATGCAGAAGTGGAGAAGGGGTGGGATCAGATCAGGTGGGGCTGAAACCGTGGAGGCATGAAGGTGGCAAATCTGATGGGCGGTGGCCCAATCAGGAGGCAGTGTCACTGTCTCCTTTTTCTACTCCTTTTAAAAGCACTTCTATCCAAATTGGATGGTGCATGTTTGAAAGGAACTACATATTCGTGGCAATTATTATTCTTTTTTTTTTTTTTGTTGCTCTCTCTCTCTCTCTCTCCATATAATTATGTGCAAGAATATAGTTTAATTGTATTTTATTGACCATGGTTCGTTTTACCAGGTTTTTAAATGGTTTTTACACAAATTGGATGATGCATGTTTGAAAGGAACTACATATTCTTGGCAATTATTATTATTTATTTATTTTTGCTCACCCTCCCTCTCTCTCTTTCTCTCTTCATGTTAGTATGTGCAAGAATATAGTTTAATTGTATTTTTATTGACCATGGTCCGTTTTACCTGATTTTTAAACGGTTTTTGCAGTCTTTTGGAGTTCACCGGCGTCCATTCAGTGGATTACCAAGACGTCCCTTATCTGTCAAGTATGATTTTCCACATTTTATTTATATAACGAGGTTTTTTCCCCACAATTTGATGTCAAAATTCCGTGATGCTGGTAGTATTTTGGTTTTCTCCATATGAAATGTTTGTCTGTGTCCATGTTTGTTGAATTTGTCTTCTTCTCATGCTGAATTATTTAGTTGATGCAGCATATATTTTCTGCTTAAACATTATATTAAGTGAGATTTTGGTATGACTTCCTTTAATAATGAATTTCTGGCTGCCATTGTTTTGTTCTATTTTTCAAGCAAATTTTCCTTGTAGCCTCTGCCCTTGGATTTTTTCTTTTTTCAACCCCCCCCGCCCCCTTCCCTGTCTCGAACTCTCTGACTCATGTGGTCTCTAGACTTGGGGGTTCATTGAAGACACTGTATACTTTAGATTTCTAATCTCATCAGGTCTATGTTACATGGATTCAGGTACGAGTATCTAGTGTAGGTGTGTGTCCAAACGTCAGATCTTTCTGGACCTAGATCTTAGGATAACACGTTAGGCACGTCTTAAACACACACACATTGCATATTGTATAAATACTTTTTGATAAAATTAAATAGAAATGTATTTCAAATTATATAGAAATGAATTTCAAATATATAGAATTTATCCTCTCATTTGTGTGAGAATATATAGAATTTAGCAAATGTGAGTGTCTTCTTCTTCAAACATCATTTTAAATTAGAGGATCCAAGTAAATTAGATACATGTTTCAAACATATCCCACACCCTTACCTTAGTCATATTCGGTGGACATGGGTACGTTGAGGGAGTAAAAGAGTCCATGTAACACAACATTAGGCTAGGTCCGGGTCTCATAGGAGCGCGTATGCATGTTTGACACGTGTGGGACATATGCTCATCTGTGTCATTTTTTTTTATACCAGGAGACACATTGGTCACATGTGTTACTTTAGTGGACATTTTGAGATACAATGGGGTCTTTGAGTATAATTTCAAATTATTTATGAGGGGTCAAAATAAACAAAAGAAATTGCTGCTTTAAGATGGGAAAAAAAGAGTTAGGGCTCTTCATTGGTCAACCTAAGAAAGGGTCAATGCATGTCCAAACAACCAAGTTTACTTTGAAGGTCTCATGATGGCAAGGAAGTGTCAACTGACGAGATTTTCTGGCCATCCAAATTCACTTAGGTGCATGTACATGGGGCTGTCATGCATCGGACAATGCTCATCCATGTCCTCCTTATTTGCCTTTTTTTTTTTCTGCCGGACACACAATGTTCACATGTTTCCCTTTGTCCTTCACTGTTGATGAGGCCACACAAGATTGATCCACAATTTTCTATTCATTGAACTTGTGTTGAGGAAATAATAATTATTTAAACCAACTAATTGGATGCCAATTTTGATACATAATCTTTGACTTGAAATAATTAGTGCTTGTACATCAGTAGTTTCTATCTGATCAACTCAGTGTTGACTTCCTGAATGGGAACCTGTCACTCAAATTCAAAAGGGAGGGCAGTGTGTTTTCTTTAGGGGATTGACCTGTAATATGGGCCAACTTACAGGAAGTGCCAATGTAATTTACCCTTAATTTGACTGATATTGCTGTTCATATGTCTATACTATTATTTTTTATCTGGAACTATTTTGTGACATTAAAAATTATGAGAAAATTGTATTTTAGTGAGAACAACAACTCAAAATGATTTCACTTTCATGGAGGTGTAAGTGTGCAAGTGAGAGCTATCACACATGCCACAACAACTTTCACTTGTACTGGGCACAAACTGACTTGCACCTCCATGGAAGTGCAATTATTTTGAATTGTTCCCATTAAATGCAATTTTCCAAAAAATTAATCAGTAGCTGGTTGGAACTCGAAAGCAAGCTTTGAATTCCGTTAAGGACCAAGTTCTTGAGAGAAAATGTGCATTTGAACACTAACCCAACTGAACCAATGGGGTAGCCCGTTGGTCAGAACCCCCTCACTAGGAGGTTAGTAATTCGAATCTACCCACTTGCGTGTGGGTTTTTTTCTCCCATTTTTGAAGTTTGTATTTAGTATGTGTTGTATTTGATCTTCATTATCATTATAATTTATTGGCCTTCATTTCTAGACTCCAGTAGTACTTACCGGTATTGCTTTTTTGTAGTTCTGCTGCTAGAGCTGGGAGCTCAATACCATCTTCAATGATACCTCCTTACCCTGGCAGTGTGGCTCGGGCCCGTGATCGCGTCCAGGCTCTCCAGGCATACTTTCAGCAACCCACCAATTCACCACCCGTACGCATGCCCATCATGTCTGGCACGCGGAGATCTAGCAGTCATAGGGGCGTGACTCAAGTTGGACCAGTGGCCTCATCATCTGATCAGACTGGTGGCTTCTACTTCTTCCCGCCAGCTTCGTCTGGTCGAAATTTCCCAGAAGCAGAAAATCATCCAATGTCAAATCGCTTCCATGCGTGGGAAAGAGAGCACGTGACTTCATTCCCGTTGAGCCAAGGCGACAGAGATCTGGTTTGGGGCCCATTTCATCAGGCGGGTGGTGGGTCAGATACTGCCATCAGATCCACCAGCTTTCGCCAGAGGTATGCATCTGAGAGAATGCCACCACAAAATCAGTCATAGATGACTTAATATTCTGCTTTGGTGAAGAAAAAAATGAACACTATGACTGAAATCAAAAAGTTATGTATGTTTGAGAAAGGATATATAATGCTTGGCGTCAATGACGAACTCAATACTGTGGTGTGGCCCTGAAAATATCAATTTTTGGTAGCCATGCACCTGTGTGCTGGACTGGCTGCCTCTTGTTTCTGTGCCCTGGGGATGATATATATATATATATATAAATAACATTGCATTGCATTGCATGTTCAATGGCAGAATTTCAAGGCTTATTATAGCAATTGGGCTTTACTTGTCTCATACAAGTGACTTAGGTACCTTGATGGAGTGGTGAAATTCCCAGTGATCTGGTAAAATGTTTTTGGGATGGTCATCTAGTGCTGTCCAAAACTTTAATGGTTGAATGATTTTATTTAAGTGGACATTCAAATAGCTGAAATTAGGTATGCTTCTCAGTGTTTATTTTATTTTATTTTATTTAGGAAGTCCTCCCCAGGGTTAGATTTCTCTGTTAATCATGAACTGATCTCTGTTTTAAATAAAGTTTTCCATCTATAACGTTGTTATTAGTTGTTTTGCCAACTCTCCTGTGAGTAAAGGACTACTATTAGCATCCATACCCTCTCCCTGTTGCTCCTATGGTGGAACCAGTTGCTCCTGCACCACCTATTATTGGGAATATAGAATCCAATACCACCATGGACAGGGAAGAGCAAGTTTTATGTCAGGGACAAAGACATACATAAAGTTACTTAAATATAAGAGACCACATTCGTTCACCCATTGCCATCTCTTGTTTCTGACAAGAGTCCAGGTAACTTTGAACCTCTTGTTTCTCTTGAGTCTACTGATATTGTTATTCCTGACATTACTGATCTTGATATTCCTATTGTCAAGAGAAAGGGTGTGAGATCTTGTACGCAACATCCTATCTCAAACTTTGTGCCCTACTCTCCTTTGTCTTCCTCGTATAGAACCTTTATGTCAAACATTTCCTCCGTTAGTATTCCTAACCATTTTCAGGATGCTCTCGCTACCTCTGAATGAAAACTTGCCATTATTGCGGAAATGAAAGCACTTTGTAAGAATGGCACTTGGAATTAATTGAGTTACCGAAGGGCAAACAACCGGTGGGATGCAAATGGATGTATATTGTGAAGCACAAAGCAAATGGTTTCATTGAGCGTTACAAGGCTCAACTTGTGGCAAAAGGCTTCACTTAGACTTATGGAGTAGACTATCAGGAGACTTTTGCACCAGTGGCTAAGATGAATTTAGTCAAAATACTTCCCTCTCTAGCAGTTGATTTAGATTGGCCACTTCATCAGTTTGATGTAAAAAAAAAATGTTTTCTTACATGGTGATCTATAAGAAGAGATATATATGGACATTCCTACTAGTTTTGAGGATCATTAGACAGAGGGTAAAGTATGTAAATTTCGGAAGTCGTTATATGGTCTCAAACAGTTTAAGGGTTTGGTTTGAGAAATTCACTTGGCAACATCACTTTTTAGCCTAAAAGCCAAAAAATTATTAAAAAAATCAAAAAGCTAACAACTTATACTAAAAAGTCAAAGATTTTCTTTTCTCTCTACTTTTTACACATCTTTTCGTAAAAAATCAAAAAGTCATCCCAAACATATTAGTTTTTTTTATATCATATTTTAGCTAAAAAATCAAAAAGTTACTAAAAAAATCTGTTCCCAAACGAGGCCAAGCTATGCTTAAATATGATTTCAAATAGAGTTAGGCAGATTAGTGTTGTGAAAAGCATGCCTAGGCGCAAGGTGCAGCCAAGCGCATGAAGTGTGCCTGAAGGGGCTCAAGGCGAGGCGTATTAGACGAGTCGCGCGCCTTGGACGTGACTTGTATAGGTGCCGGGAGGCACAAGGCTCACGCCTAAGTGGGCTTTTTTCTTTTCGTTTTTGATGCTAATCTAACAGTTATGATCTGTTTTCGAAAGGCTCCAACCACATAGGATTACAACTCATACAGTACAACTCAACCCAAATTAGAATACGACTGAATTCCCTAATCTATCGAAGATATCTGTGTCGTCTCTTCCTCTGGGCTCCTCTCTCGACTTCGATTTTGACTTCGATTCAAGTCAGTGCTGCTTTTTCTTCTTCTTCTTCTCCTCATTTTCTCCTTCGTTGTTTGCTACTGGGCCTGGGTGATTCGAATCGATTCGATTTGATTTGATTTTTTTCTTTTTCTTCTTTGCTGGGTGAATTTTTTCCCCCTCTTCTCCTTCTACTCCTTCTCTTCTGTTTCGCTAGTTGCTTTTTTTTTTTTTTCCCCTTCTTTTTCTTCTTCTTCTTCTTCTTCTTCTTCGTAGGTTAACTTGCTCTGTTTCGACTTCAACTCTCTCTTCCCCTCTCTCTCTTCTTCTTCTTCGTAGGTTAACTTGCTTTGTTTTTTTTTTTTGCTTCTTCGACTTCAACTCTCTCTCTTCTTTTTCTCCTCTTCCTCCTCCTCCTCTTCTACTTCGCTGGTTTTTTTTTTTTTTTTTCCTTCGACTTCGACTTCGACTCTCTCTCTCTCTCTCTCTCTTCTCCTTTGCTCTCTATACTTCTTATTATGGTAGTGAAAACTGCAATAATCACAGTTGAATCTTTGTTAGGAACAAAAAAATTGTAAATAATTAATTTATCACATCACACACATTACATTACATTATACTGAAATTGTATTTCATTTATTTGATGTGTTGTGTAGTAGAAAATGACATCTGAAAGTAATAAAAAGGAACCCGCGTGACAACAACTCAAATAAGTTAGAATGTAATTTTTGTGGCAAAATATCAAATGGAGGTGTTTATCGAGTGAAACAACACCTTGTGGGAGGTTATAGGAATCTCATTGCCTGCCCGAAGTGTCCACCTCATGTAAAAGAAGAGATTAGAGAGTTCATGTCCAAAAAGAAGACGCAAAAAGAAGAAATGAATATGTTGCTTGATTTTGATGACATGGACATGGAAGATGAAGGTGAAGATGATGTTGTTGTTGAGATCAATCCACGCTGTAAATTGATAAGTAGTAGCAGCCATGGTTCATCCAAATTTAACCTAAAAAGGCCAAAGAGAAAGGGCCTATGGATGTTTACTTCACACCCAAACCTGAATCAGTGCTGAAAAATTGAAAAAAACAAGCAAAAGGGAAGCAAACAAAAATTGATGAAAATGATCCTTACAAAAAAGAAATGAGAGCTCGGGCAGTGCAAAGATTTGCAAGGTGGATGTATGATGCTGGTATCCATTTTAATACAGTAAATTATGAGAGTTTTGGACCAATGATTGGAGCCATTGGGCAATATGGTCCTGGTATGAAGCCACCAGCTTACCATGAAGTGCGGATTACCCAACTCAAAAAAAAGGTGAAACATACTGAAGATTTGATGAAGAATCATAAAGAGGACTGTGCAAAATATGGGTGTTCCGTAATGGCTGATGGTTGGATTGATAAGAGAGGGAGGACATTGATTAACTTTTTAGTGAATTGTCCAAGAGGAACCATGTTTGTTGAGTTAGTTGATGCTTCTAGCTATTCAAAGGATGGACAGAAGCTATTTGAATTACTAGACAAGCTTGTGGAGAAAGTTGGAAAAGAGAATGTGGTGCAAGTTATCATTGATAGTGCTGTAGCTAATGTGTTGGCGGATAAGAATCTTTCCTCCTTCCTTACTTCAAAATTGTTTACTCATAGTTTGTTTTGTAGTTAAAATTTAAAAACTCGAAAATAATAATTTTGTGTTACATTATAGGGAGGTTTTTGGAAGCCAAGTATGAACACTTGTATTGGACACCATTTGCTGCTCATTGTTTGGACTTGATGTTAGAAGACATTTTCAAGATACCCCGACTGAAAAAGACATTTCAAAGGGGTATTGCAGTACATGGCTACATTTATAACCGCCCTACTTTGCTAAACATGATGAGGCGCTATACAAATCTCAAGAATTTGATCAAGCCTGCAAAAACTAGATTTGCAACTGCCTTTCTGACTTTGTCTAAGATGCATCAACAAAAAAACAATTTAAGAAAGATGGTCACTTTTAAAGACTGGACCTCAAGCAAATGGGCAAAGGAACCACGCGGTAAAAGAATGACACAAACTTTGTTGATGCCTTCATTTTGGAATAATGCTGTGTTTGCCCCTAAGGTCTCGAGTTCTCTCGTCAAAGTGCTTAGATTGGTTGATACTGAGAAGAAACTTCCCATGGGATATATTTATGAGGCAATGGATAGGGCAAAAGAATGCATTGTAAGTTCGTTTGATCATAAAGAAGAGAAATATAATGAAATCTTCGAAATCATTGACAAAAGGTGGGATCTTTGCATGCAGTTGTGCACTTTCTTAGCCTAGAATTCTTTTATCCAAAAGCGTTAGAGGTGCAAAAAGATCATAAAGTGATTAATGGGTTTTATGAATGCATGCAAAGGTTGGTCTTAGGTGTCGCTGTTCAAGATTTGATTATTAATGAGATGAGTATTTATACGAAGGTTGAGAGCCTTTTTGGCAAGCCTATTGCGATTAGGCAAAGAAATACAAGGGCACCAGGTAATATATTATAGACTCTATTTTTAGTAATACTTTTAGTCAAACTCAATGCGTGGTAACAATTATTTTTAACTAGTGATTATTGCAGTTGATTGGTGGGCATCATATGGTTCTAAAACCCCAAATTTGCATACTTTTGCCATAAAAGTCCTTAACCTAACATGTAGTTCATCGGGTTGTGAACAAAATTGGAGTGTATTTGAACATATGAGTATTTAACATTCTAACTAAGTTTTGGTGAATTCAAATATTTTTTATTCTCATTATATGTAATTTAATATCTTTCTGATACTTGCAGCTTCATAACAAGAAAAGAAATAGATTGGAACACCAACGTCTCATTGATTTGGTGTTTGTCAAATATAATAGAACATTGAGATCTAGATTTGACTTGCGTAACACTCTTGATCCCATATCTTTGCGAAATATTGATGAAAACAATGAGTGGTTGCTTGGAAGGATGGATGGATGGAGAATCAGATGAGATAATGAGCCAGTGTTTGATGATGATGATGGCTTGACGTGGGCCACTGCTGCTAGAGCTTCTGGATTAGAATAAAGTAGTCATGCAAGTAGAGCAACAAGTTCATACTCAAAGGCACTGAAGATATCTAAATCATCAAGATCAACTCCACTTCAATTAATAGATGAGGAGGAGGCGGGGCTTAGATGACACAGATGAGGAAGATGTTGAGGGATATAAATCAACTGATGGAGAAGAAGATGATGGTTTGCTTGCCATTGATGTTGAGGATGACGATTGACTGACCTAACCTAACCTAACCTTTCTTATGATATTGATGTTTTGAAATGTTAAGACTTATATTAGTATTTGTTGAATATTTATGTTTTGAATGTTTAGTGTTTATATATATATATTTTTTTTGGTTGAATGTGGATTATTTTATCTTTGAAAATTGGAATGCTATATAATGTGCACTTTCATGGCTTTGAGAATTATTCTATTATTTGCCTTGATTACTTTTTATCTTAAAAAAATTATTTTAGTACTATAAATGATTACTTTATGTTAATTTATCTATTTTTTATTAAGATTGTGCGCCTTGCTTCAATAAAGCCCGCGCCTCGCCTTATGCCTTGCCCCTAGGCCCCAAGAGACCTTTAGCGCCTTCGTGCGCCTTGAGCCTTTAAAACACTGAGGTAGATCACACTTTGTTTGTGAAATATTCCTCATGTGGTAAGACTACAGCTCTTATTGTTTATGTGGATGACATAGCGCTTATAGGCGATGATAGTGAGGAAATACCTCTGTTGAAGAAATATTTAGCTTGTGAGTTTGAAATCAAAGACTTTGGGAACTTGAAGTATTTTTTGGGAATCGAAGTTGCTCGCTCCAAGGATGGAATTTTCATCTCACAAAGGAAGTATGTTCTTGACCTTTTGAAGGAAACATGGATGCTTGGATGTAAGGCCTGTGATACCCCACTGGAACCTAATCCAAAACTTGGTGATGATGAAGGAGGTGCAACTGTTGATAGGGGGAGTTATCAGTGACTCGTGGGTAATTTTATTTACTTATCTCACTCTCGTCCTAATATTGCTATTGCTGTCAGTATGGTTAGTCAGTTTATGCATGCTCCTCGTCAAATTCACTTAGAGGCTGTTATGAGAATTCTGAGGTACTTGAAATCTTCTCTTAGAAAGGGTCTTTACTTTTTAAAACATGATCACCTCAGAGTGGAAGCCTATATAGATGCTGATTGGGTAGGGTCAATAACTAATAAGAGTTCTACATCAGGATATTGTACCTTTGTGGGCAGCAATCTTGTTACTTGGAGGAGTAAGAAACAGAATGTGGTGACTAGATCAAGTGCAAAAGCTGAGTTTAGAACTATGATACAAGATGTGTGTGAACTCTTGTGGATTAGACTGTTGTTGAGTGATCTAGGGATGGGCGAGACAGACTCTATGCAACTATATTGTGATAATAAGGTTGCCATCAATGTAGCTCACAATCCTGTTCAACATGACAGAACAAAGCGTATTGAGATTGAACACCACTTCGTCAAGGAGAAACGCACTAGCAGCATGATATGTACTCTTTTTGTGAAGTCAAGCGAACAACTTGCAGACATCTTCACCAACGGAGTTGGGAGTAAACCATTTCATGACATTCTAGGCAAGCTGGGCATGCAAGATATCTTCGTACCAACTTGAGGGGAAGTGTTAGAATATTTCCTTGTTTCCTTGTTTAGATTAGATTGTAATTGATTGATTGTGATTCCTTAATCAGTTAGTCAATCAATCAATATAAAATGTGATTCCTCAATCAGTGCTTTAGGGCTTCCTTTTGTAACAGTTGATTGATTAATATAAAAGGTGAGAATATCATAATCATCACCCAAGCTTTGTATTCTCTTAAATTACACTTCCCTTCTTCTTTTTGATGAGAAGATAAACTTTCTGTGAAACAGTAAAAGAATGGCGCACAGATGCTACAGATGATATCAGCTAAAACTGTGGTGCTTCTCTCACCCATTTGCTAGTATCTTAGACTTTTGGACCATACTTGATCTGAAAACCATTGTTCTAGTTGCTAATTTCATGCACATGATTGAAGCGTCAAATCCTATATTTAAAGCTGTCTCGCTTGCCTTGTCAAGAAATGCTCGTCTCCTTGCATTCTGAAAATTGAACCCTTCATGAGAACAATAGACTGTTTAAACATATCTTGAGACTTGTCAGTTGCTCTTTTTGAAAGGCTGCTGGCTCATTGTGATCCATTTTCAAGATAACTGGACAAATATTGACTAGCTAACATCATAGAAGTGATCAAATATTTCTTATTGCTTTCAAGTTTCGGCTACCACCTGTACCCAAGCCTTATTTGACCTCAAAACTTCCATCTGCTTTAGTAATTAACACTTGCATGATGAGGGTTCCAATTCTCTATGAGCTGCCTACCACTCTTTGTCATCTAATGTTGGGCATTATGAAAATTCTTTCGCATGTTTCAAGGGATTGGAGTAGACCTTATTTCTTAAACACATACATTTCTCTTCTTCCAAATGGAGATTTCTTAATGTATCTTTTTCATCCTTTTGTGATACTTTATGTCTGCCTGTGATACAAAGTAGCCTAACTGCTTGTATCAGTTTTAACTCGGAGAGGCTGCGACCACTCTCATTTAGCAATGTCACTAAGCTGTATTACACGATTGAGGTCTCCATTTGTGAAAAAATCATCACTAATATATTTTCATTATCAGATGTAAATTTATCTAAAATTTGATGTCAATGTTGATAGTATCAGCAACGTGAGACAAAAGCCTGAGTAATTAGATGCTTGCTGCACTCTCATGTGTTGTCGTTTATCAGTTTATGAACTTGGCTCTGAGTTGAATACTTGCTTGTGCATTGTCAGTATGAAGAAGGGCTCTTCCATATCTTCACAGACTTTGATTTCCAAACTGCCAGAAATTTTTATAATGTTCAATTGTTTGTATGTGATATAGGTCAGTCATTTTGCTGAAGAGCGAAGTTTGTAAAGGGCACTATTCATCTTTATGAAGCCTAACATGTTTGGTTTCTTCTTCTTATTTTTTCATTAGATTCCAAGACGCTGAGGATGACTGCACGGAGGCCTTAAATTTAGATGATCGTGAAATCAAAGCCTATTCACGTCGATCAACAGCTAGAAAAGAACCTGGAAAACTTAAAGAATCAATTGAGGGTATTTAATTCCTTCAAATATTTGTTTTGTTGAAATTATTGATTAACTGAATCCTTTCTGATCATTTAGTATTTCTGATTTGATAAGTATACCTTACTGCAGATGCTGAGTTTGCCCTGAGGCTGGAGCCTCACAACCAGGAGATCAAAAAGCAGTACGCTGAAACCAAATCTTTGCATGACAAGGTAAAAACTTCACCACTCCCAGACGTATGTTGCTTCTAAATTGTAGCATAGAACCTACTTTGGGCTCATCATGATAATCTTAATGTGTCTGGCGATTGTAAATGCCCATGGCTTGAGATGTTGTCTATACACTGGCTAACTGGAACTTTGGTGGATCTATGACACCATGACGAGGAAATAGGTGCATTGCCTGTATGAATCGCGTTACCATACAGTTCTTTTTATATAGGTTTTTCTCACCTCATGGAGCTGTATATTTGGCCTTCAATCCACAGTTTTAATTTGGGAGTGGAGCTCAGTATAATAATATATTTTTGAGTCAAGCTTGATGCAGCAATAAGTGCAATGGGGTGGAGCTCCACAGGTTTAACAACTATCATAGCTTGAATTCCCACCTACAGACCAGCCTTTTCTAGATACCATCGTGTTATATGGCATGTAGTGCCTCTCGTTTTTTCCCATCTTCTGACTAAAGTTTATTGCGTTCACAATACTTTTTTAAGTTTCAGGGTTATGTTTCACTATATTGGGGTAGCTGGAAAATTGAACGTCAAATGTAAATTTAAGTACTTCATGAATGATTCAATTTCTGATTTTTTATATATACAAAATATTTTCAAATTACTGAGTTCTCTTTATAATGGTTTTGCTAGTGTTCAATGTAAAATTATACGAGTACTATGGTGTTTGTTGTGCTGAAAAAAATGGTAATATTTGATATCCTTGCTTGTCTGTTTGGAACCATAAGTATACCGTCTTTGCGATGACCAGCTTGGAAATGCATATGGTGTTATTACCTAGTTGATATGAGGTTTATCAATTCAAAGGACAGAGAGTTTAAATGTCTTGCCGTTTTATACCTGGATGGTAGAGTTTACAGAAGATATGAAAAAAAGTGGGATTCAACAGAAGCTAAGCTTTAATCTGCCCCATATATGTGGGGAGCTGGTGCTGTGTGGCTTCTTTTAGAATGAATAAGATGCCCGTGTTTCTTCTCTGATTTTTTTCTCCCTGGCCTGTCCCTAAGCTACCTAGCAAAAGGATAACTGTATGTGTTTTATGTTACTGCTATTATAATTTGCACTCATTCAACTCCTTAGCAGTCACTCAAACTAACTTTTACAGGAGATACTGAATAAGGCATCTGGAGCATTGAGAAGTTCTGTGCAGAAAGTGGGAAAGTCAAAGGCGGAAGTGAACGGACATGTTGGGGCTGTACAATCTGTATCAAGAAGTTCACCGAAAATGGTAACGGCTGCAATTCAAGAAGATCATAACAAGGTATAAATTACAAATTGTTTTGTCTTTCCTTTGTGATCACTCTAAATAGTTTACTTATGATTTGCTTATTGTTGGAAAGGCTAAAAAGAAGGACAAATGCGTATATGAGAAACTTATTCCTATGTTTAATGTATTCCCAAGGAGCAGGACCTGCCATTCTAACCCCTCTTGGGGACTATATTCATAAATGCAAAGTTTATGCCTGGCTGATGTTGTTTATCATCCTATAAATCACTTGATTTGGTAATTGTTATAAAAATTATTGCAAATGGAAAAGAATAGTGATTGGATCGTGTGTCTTTGGCAAATCTACAGTAGAAAACAAGGTTCCATTGTAACAGTCAAATATAATTTACTGAAAAAATCTGATAATGTTAGAGCTTGCCAGGAAATACTTCTAGCGGATCCAATGAAGGACTCCTTACATTTTCAAAATTACATTTTAGCGTAAAATTTTGAAAATGTCTTTCAATTTGCCTCCTCTAAAATTATATATATGCCACCTGAAGGTTGTTTGTTATCTATCTCTTTTATCTTTTTCAACAAAATCCCTATAATTTGCTCATTCAATTTTATTTTTACAATACATTTCCTTTATATATATATATGCATATCACATTATATATATATATATAAATATATTTAATATTTATATGTTGTAATAAAGTTTTTTTTTCATATCTTCTTAACTAAAATATGACTTCTTTATTGCCTGTTGGCTCCTTTGAGATGTTAAAACTTAAAATTATTGAGATTTTGTAAAACAATAGATTGGTTGTTTGAATTACGAGGATAATTTTTTCCTATTCTTCTTCCAACAAATTTAACTTGCCATTAACTAGAAAATGGGCATAGGTTGAATCCCTATTTGCTTCTCGAAGAAATCAAAGAAAACATCTCCTTTTATTATGTGTATTTTATTGGTATTTTCTATTTTTATTATTGTGATGTGTATGATATTGGAATACTTTTGAAATATTCTAAGGCTCCATTTGGATACGTGGATTTGAAATGAAGGGATTTGATGTTCAACTTCATAAAATTGTAAGAAGGTTGATTATGGATGTATAGATTGATAATTCTAAAGTAAGGGATGCATGGAGATAGGAAAGATGCTTTTTGTTAATATTTTTATACAAGTAGAATCATTCATGGAAGGATTTCAAATAACCATGTTCACTTAGTGTTAAAACCTATCACCTACTTCACCCACTTCACCTACTCCACTACACCTACTCCACCCACTTCACCTACTCCACTTCACCTACTCCACCTACTACCTATTCTTCTCTTCTATATATAGGAATCATTGTAAACATAACAATATATGAATCAATAATACAATTCTTTATTTCTCTTTATACATTAAATTTCTACACTTAGTATTTCAAATCCATTAATCTAAAACTCGCAAATCCATTCTTGAAATCTGTAACTAGAATATTATATTGAAATAGATGTTATACTCCTTGGTGTTACTGAATGCATTCATTTGAAATCCATGTATCCAAATGGAGCCCGAGTGTTCTGTGTCCCAAACCAACCTTGTTCTATAATTTGGCTTGTTGTCCTCCCTCCATCAGCCAAAATATTGGCTCCACAGGAGGTACAGTTTGTCTTCTATTTGATTCAAGAAGGATGCCAAATTGGTACTTGCTTCCGCAATTAAAAATCCCAAGATCACCATTTAGTGCATCTGTTATTTGAATGCATGAGGCTACCTGATTTTTTGAATTAATTGCTTGCAATGTACTTGAGAAGAGAACAGGGTGGTAAATGGAAATCATGAGATGATGAGAACAATGGAGTTTTCATGTTGTTGTGTTTCCCTTAGCATTTGAAGTTGTAAAAACTTCTTGAGTATACTGTTTGTTGCTACAATTTTATTTCTGAACTTCCAAATGCTGTTGGCAGGACAGTGATGGACAAGTTCCTGCAAAGACATCTATGTTTATCGAGGAAATAGAAAACAGAAGTATGAGAAGTAAAGGACAAGAAGCAAATGCCTCTTGTGAAGATGGTGTGCAGAGTTCTGGTTTGGAGAGCTCTAAGGTCTTATATTTAGATCCTTGCTTAATTACAGAAGTTTGTCTTCTATTTGATTCAAGAAGGATGCCAAATTGGTACTTGCTTCCGCAAATTTTTTTAAAATCCCCTTACTTTTCTATCCCTTTCTTCTCCCTGGTAGGCAATGAATGTGAAGAATGTTTAGGTTCTAACAGATTTAGCAATGTCCATAAGTAGAATACTACAATCCTCCTCCACTGAGTTAAAAATAGAGAAAATCATTTTATTCTTGGACACCTTGTTTCCATCCCATGTTTTCTTTAAGGGTTAGCAAGAGCCCTTATAACCACAGCTGCTAACTATCTATGAATTCCTTTTTCCTTAATATTATTTTTGTTTCACTTCTATTGTTGTGGCTAAGATAACAAGTGTTGTTTTACTTCTATTGCTATGCTCGATATCTTAGCAAATGAAATATATTGTGGAACAGATAATAGAGGATGACTGCTAAAACTGATTACTTGCAATTTGGAAATAACCACATTTACCAAGGACTTAATATGAATGGCCATCCCTCCTTGTCTAAATATGGAACTGCATGTAATAAAAACTAAGTTTGTCCATTATCATTTTCAAGTGGCTGTAATTCGTGATGTCTGGAATATATTTTATATCACTACAAATTTAATTAATAAAGTTTTTTACTACCGGCAAGTTAGAGATCCCAATGGCTTTTATATTACCAGGAAGGAATGTTTTCAACATGAACAAATGTAAGAATACTCCTTATAAGTTAATATGCTGTTTTATGGCATTCCATGAAATTTTTTATGCTGAGGTTGCTCCCATTTCACCTTTTGGCAAGTTTGCTCTCTGTTTTCTTGTTTGACACTGTTCCTTGTTATAATTCTTCATAGAAAAATCACAAAAAGCAAGAGCTCAAACCATCAGTGCAGGAGCTTGCTGCTCGAGCAGCTTCTCGTGCCATGGCTGAAGCTGCAAAAAACATCACACCACCAAATTCAGCTTATGATACCCTTACAGCTTACTCGTTGGGGTTAAAAATCCCAAGATCACCATTTAGTGCATCTGTTATTTGAATGCATGAGGCTACCTGATTTTTTGAATTAATTGCTTGCAATGTACTTGAGAAGAGAACAGGGTGGTAAATGGAAATCGTGAGATGATGAGAACAATGGAGTTTTCATGTTGTTGTGTTTCCCTTAGCATTTGAAGTTGTAAAAACTTCTTGAGTATACTGTTTGTTGCTACAATTTTATTTCTGAACTTCCAAATGCTGTTGGCAGGACAGTGATGGACAAGTTCCTGCAAAGACATCTATGTTTATCGAGGAAATAGAAAACAGAAGTATGAGAAGTAAAGGACAAGAAGCAAATGCCTCTTGTGAAGATGGTGTGCAGAGTTCTGGTTTGGAGAGCTCTAAGGTCTTATATTTAGATCCTTGCTTAATTACAGAAGTTTGTCTTCTATTTGATTCAAGAAGGATGCCAAATTGGTACTTGCTTCCGCAATTATTTTTAAAATCCCCTTACTTTTCTATCCCTTTCTTCTCCCTCGTAGGCAATGAATGTGAAGAATGTTTACGTTCTAACAGATTTAACAATGTCCATAAGTAGAATACTACAATTCTCCTCCACTGAGTTAAAAATAGAGAAAATCATTTTATTCTTGGACACCTTCTTGTTTCCATCCCATGTTTTCTTTAAGGGTTAGCAAGAGCCCTTATAACCACAGCTGCTAACTATCTATGTTTTCCTTTTTCCTTAATATTATTTTTGTTTCACTTCTATTGTTGTGGCTAAGATAACAATTGTTGTTTTACTTCTATTGCTATGCTCGATATCTTAGCAAATGAAATATATTGTGAAACAGATAATAGAGGATGACTGCTAAAACTGATTACTTGCAATTTGGAAATAACCACATTTACCAAGGACTTAATATGAATGGCCATCCCTCCTTGTCTAAATATGGAACTGCATGTAATAAAAACTAAGTTTGTCCATTATCGTTTTCAAGTGGCTGTAATTCGTGATGTCTGGAATATATTTTATATCACTACAAATTTAATTAATAAAGTTTTTTACTACCGGCAAGTTAGAGATCCGAATAGCTTTTATATTGCCAACATGAACAAATGTAAGAATACTCCTTATAAGTTATAATATGCTGTTTTATGACATTCCATGAAATTTTTTATGCTGAGGTTGCTCCCATTTCATCTTTTGGCAAGTTTGCTCTGTGTTTTCTTGTTTGACACTGTTCCTTGTTATAATTCTTCATAGAAAAATCACAAAAAGCAAGAGCTCAAAGCATCAGTGCAGGAGCTTGCTGCTCGAGCAGCTTCTCGTGCCATGGCTGAAGCTGCCAAAAACATCACCCCACCAAATTCAGCTTATCAGTTTGAGGTTTCTTGGCGAGGACTTGCTGGTGATCATACTCTACAAGCTCGTTTGTTGAAGGTCTGCAATGATGATCTTACTTTGCAAGCTTTTACATATTGTTTTTTTCTCATATTCAACTCAAGCACATAGCTGGTGAAGGTGCCAGCTAGCTTAGCTAGAAAGTCTCTTGTTGTTTACTCTCTTTTTTTCTCCTTAAAAAAAAAGGTCTTTTGGTGTGATACCAAAAACTTGGGATCGATTCCCACATTTGCCTAGGGGGAGGGCTACCCGCATTGTGTAGCTATCACCTTCGAACCAGAAACAACTACATATCTTGTAATTTGAGAATGCAAAGTGTCTGATTTGCATATCTGTTGACAATTTATTTATTTTGTCCCCTCAGTTTGTTGAACTTCTGATTGGCCCACCTGACTATTGGTTTTTGCATGATTAGGTGACATCACCAGTTGCATTACCACAGATTTTTAAAAATGCCATGTCTGCTCCAATGCTAGTTGACATTATTAGGTGTATTGCCACCCTTTTCACGTAAGTAGATCAGTTCTCTTCTGATAATTTTGTCTTGAATATATCAACTCCTGTTAGATCAATTGCAAAAGGTTCTCATGGTTTATATATGTATATATATATATATGTTTTTGCAGGGAAGAAATGGATCTGGCTGTCAAATATTTAGAAAACTTAGCCAAGGTGTCTAGATTTGACACGATCATGATGTGTCTTTCATCTACAGATAGAGCTGGTATGTTTTTATTAAATAATCTTTGTACTTTCAAAAGCTGCAACATTTATGTATTTGTATAGCATCTATATTTTATATTTTGTACAAATCATCTATATTATTATACAAGTAAATGAAATGTTTGCCTAACAATGCCGTTGGCTTTGCATTGTAATCATGTTTGAAATTTGTAGTGGCAAGTCTGTAAGCTATACAATATTGATGGAATAGTTTGGAAAACCATCTAAGACTGATTGTGAGTGCTACAAGATGATCATGGTTTTGGATGGGCTCTTCAATGATGTAAAATGGGCACAGATACACCCTCCTTCAAGTAGTGAGCCCAAAATTAATATGATGCAGCAGCAAATGACTCTTGTTTTAGGGATGACTTTAGTTGGTTTATAGAGCCTAGAAAAGGTACTAAAATGTGAAGATTTTAGGGTTTCAAAAGGGGTAGGATTACATTAGTTTAACGACGGAAGAAGAGAGAATTTGGAGACTGTTTTGGGGCTGTGAACAGTAACTACAGTTGTTTGTGTCTTCCTCTAGGCACTAGGGTTCAATAGTTGTTAGCAAGGGATTGAGGTTGTGAAATAGGACTTCTAGGGTTAGGTGTAAGGTTGAAACAAATTTGTTTATAGGCTAAAGTGAAGGACAAATAAAGTTAATTAAGAGGAGAATAAAATTTTAGGCATCGTGCTTAGAACCTAAAAAGCATCAAATACCTAGGGTTAGAATTGCATCATGTAATCACAATAGAGCTTAAGTAGAAGATTACATGGCTTTGTCTAAACTATAAACTTAAATCTCCCAACTCTAGTATTACTTCGATTTACATTTTAGAAACCAAGACTTTTGACTTCCAAAACCTATATAGAACCAACTAAAAGGCAAATTTGGAGACCAGTAAACTTTGACTTGTGTAAAATTAACTAAAAGACAAAGCATAATTGACTGGTAATATGACCCATGGATGACCCCTATAGCCCAATGTCCAAAAATCGTGAAATTGTCAACAGACTGCTGGCCTATAAAAATAAAAATCACATAGAAAACCAACCAGAGCAATACATATCCTAAATATCATAAAATAAGACTAAAGCCGGAAAACTTTATATACATGGTTCCAATTAATCTTCGGTATGTTTCTCTTGAAACAAACCAAATTCTGAACTTAGCCGCTGCTTTAGTTTTGTTTTTCTTGCTTGTCTTATGGACTGCACATTTCAATCATCAAAGAAAAGTAGCAAAAGGATTCATACTGTTGCAGGCATGGTGTCGTTTACCTCAGGCAGTAATAAATCTAATACTTGAGCTTGGTTAAATGCAACCATCTATACTGAATTCTACTCTTGGAATATGAAAGTGAAGAGGCCAGGGTTGTTATTCATTTAACAAAGCGAGTCAAATGCAACATATGGTGAGAAGTTTGAAAATATATATATACAAGTATTGTAAGAAGTTGCAGCTTAATATCTTCGTTATGGCGTCATATCTAGCTAGATGGTTTTAAGTTTCTTACCGATTGTTTAAGGAAAAAAATATAATTAAACAAGAAGAATAGTCGTCCTCAGCTCTCTCTCTCTCTCTCTCTCTCTCTATAAATATGTATACTTGTGTGTGTACTATTATATAAAATAAACAATCATTTGGTGTCGCCCATGAGGTTTTCACATGCCTAAATTATCCTCCCAATCAAATAAAAATAACCATTCTTTTTATATTATTTTGGTTTGACCAATAAAACAATAAAATTACGCGAGGCCATTTCATCTCATCTTTAAATCCCAGTTCATACACAATCTTTAACAATTTCTCAACAACCCATTATATTCGGTTACACAATCCGTAGAAATTTAAAACAGTTCCAAGTTCATGTTTCCAAATACCAGTCACCCTACTTAAAATAACCACCCACTTCTTCATATTCTCCATAAAATCAATAACATAATTTTAACATAGCTTGCACATGCTCTAGTGTGTGTGTATATATATATATATGTGGGGTTGTGGTGTGGCACTCCGCATACTGTGGAGAAAAAGAGAAACTAGTTGAATTGACTTGGTCTTTTTGTTCAAACAGATCTCCACAGGATATGGGATGATGTATTTTGCAACAATGCAACTCCAATGGAGTATGCGGAGAGGCTTGATAAACTGCGCTCCAGGTACTGCCGCAAACAATGATGTTATTGGATACGGGATTTTGGTAAAAAGATGTCACAATCAATCTGAGTGTTTTGTCTAATCTGTATTTCATTGTATATCGGTTAAACAAGAAATCCTGACACTGCTCTACCAGTTTTGGTCGCTGAACTTTTGAGTGGGACAGCTTTAAACTGTTTGTTGGGATGTTACAGAAGATCCTAGTTTGTTTATTATATTTAACTCATGCATTTGATTGTGCTCAAACAAATATACCTATGTGGGATGTTTATGGTGGATTCATTTGGAGGGAAAAAAGGGAAAATAATGTGGTTTGCTTGAGCTTGATGTAACTGTTTGATCTCTAGAGGTGCAGCAATGGTGGTGTTACTCTTTACTCCATAACTTTCATTGTTGAAACTTTTGAAAAACATCACATAAAGTGAGTATGTTTTCTATGATTCAAGCCATTAAGACAAAGGGGAAATTAGTAATCAGTGTATCTTTTCAAAAATATTTACAAATCAGTGGTAAAGTTTATAAATATTAATAATTAAATTTATAAATTTTTTCACTAATCTGTAAATATTTTGTTAACATATACCGCTGATGTAATTTTCCCTTAAGACAATTGGCCATATTTGATTTATTTCATTGTTTTGTTTGAGTACTTTGATTGTTCTTTGTTTTATTTCTTTGTTTTATTGGCTGTGATTATCTGAGTATTGAAGTTAAACTTTTTCCATGCTGGTATATGTCGAATTATTTGAACATTGTTGAACTCTATGTTAAAGAGGCATGATAGTAGTGCTTTATTTATATATACATATAATTAAACTATTTGAGCTTGAAATAATTATAAATAAATAAAAAAATTAGATTGGCTTATTAAGGAAGTTAAATTTGAACATGTTTTTAAAATTTATGAAGTTTCAAGTTAAAAGTTTAAACAATCCATTAATGGACTCAGTTTTAAATTTTTTTATTTGTTTTTAATCTAAAGTATAAACTTATTTCTATTAAGTAAAATCAACCCGAAAAAAATGATATTTTAGTTATTAAAAGTAATGTAGGTGTATATAAAATATCTAAAATATCAATTTTTGGTATTTTAATAACTATTGTTTTTTTTTTTTAGCAATTGGTTTATGGTTTAGATTGAAAACCAAAAAAAATAAAAATAAAATAATTTAAATTTAAATTTTTTACAAAGTTAAACTTGAATTTTTATTTTTATTTTTTTTGTAATTTTTCCATTATTTTTTTTCTGTTAGTTGATTTATGTTTTTTATGCTATAGGACTGTCAACAAGTTATTTTTTATCTAATTATTAATAAAAATTAGTTTTAGGAGTAAAGTGTGAAAAAATTAAAATTTGAAGGGTCAAAATGAAAAAAAAAATAAATTATAATGATCAAAGTGAGAAAATTACTAAACATAAAGAAAGGAAAGTGTAACATATTAGAAAGTCCCTAATATGGGTAATAATATGGAAGAAATAGTCAATCATATACCCACCTCTTAATTGATAGTGTACAATAGTAGCTAACTAAGCTATTCCGATTAGTTAACGGTTTTCAATATTTTGTCCATGAGTTTCTATACAAATGTGTTAGATAATATTTTTTCTTCTCACAAACGAGTCAATACGTTCGTTAAAAAATTTGCGGAAAAAGAATCTGTGAAATTTAAATGCTAAAATATAGTCTAAATGCTTGAATTGAGGATGAAATAGAATAGCATTTAGAAATTTTGATTAATAAGTTAATAAATGTATTTACTATTTAGTAGAAATAATTTTTTCTACTATTCTACACCATGTGATTTCTTCTATAAATTGCAATGCAACTCATTTGTTTGATGTAATGTGAGAACCATTGAAATGTATATTTAATTACATAGTTGCATCCTAAAAATTTATAAGATTTTTAAAGAATCAAATTTTTTCATAGTGAACAACTCTTGACACTAGCCTTTAGTCTTATTTTCAACGTCGAATACACAAAGCAAAGTGTATAGACCTACGTGAATAATAGAAATCGATTGAATTTTATGGTCTTTGGGCTCATTTGGAAAGTGGGATGGTGTTTTGACTTTTTTTTTTTTTTTTTTTAGTTATTTTAGTCTGGGTTAAAAAGTTTTATTTGTGAAGGATTTTTGATTTTTTTGTGAGAGAAAAAATATAATAATTATGAGTTAGATGTGATATTTTGCCTTATTGAGTTAAAAAGTTTATTTTATTTTTTGTGACTAAAATAATCAAAAAAAATTTCAAACTTGGCTTCCGAAACGAAGCCGTTTGTCTTCTTTTTATAGCTAGTTTTGGACTATTTGAGCTAATGTAAGATTCCATCTCCTATAATTCTATCTCATTTAGACTTTCGATACCTAAGATAATACTTGTCTTAGAGTACTTGCACGCATCTCTTCCACTAAGTAGCATTCTTTCACCTAGAGCAAATCAGTTACTCTTTAATTGACACCAATTTAGCTAAAGCGACTTGTGTTTTGATAACCAACCTTATTTTACAGCTCAGCCCAGTCATTACACTCATAAGTGTATGGCTTTATCTAATCCATGATAAACCGATCATCCATTGCATAGACTTGGCATAGACTTGGTTAGCACACAAGCAAACCACACAGTGGCGGAGCCACCATGTGATCAGGGGTCACGTGTCCCTCTGAATTTTTAATTTTTAATTTTTTATTTATTTTTACATTTATATATAATAAAATTTTAAACAAAAATAATATTTAGAATAAAATGTCTAAAGATATTTTTAAATTTATGAAAACAATAGTGATTGCTTTATTGAAAATGAAATGACTACAATAAATTATATTTTTATATATGAAAATTTTTTGAAAAAATCTCAATATAAAGATAATATCCATAATTATTTATATGTAAATATAATTAATCTCACTATATATATGTAAAAATTACTAGAGTATTAGTTATATTTGCATGTAGAGTTCACCCTTCATATATTGTTTTACTATTGGTTGGTAATATCATATGTCAATAATGATGTGATATCACTATTATATGAAATTTTTACATAAATTTTGTAAAAATTTGATTTATCTTACCATTATATAATTTATATTAAGACTTAAATATATGACTTTTTTACATTGTCCGTGATACACTAGTTACACGCAATACTTTTTTTTTATTTTACTCGAAATTGATTGTAAAATTTTATGTGAAATACTTTTTTAATAATTTATTTAAGTTTTTATTCTTAATATTAATTCAAAAATTATTATTATCTTCTTATTGTTGGTTATGAAAAAAAAAAAATTTAAAGTTGTAATCAATAAGTGCCCCTTTTGATTTAGTTTCCTGATTCCGCCACTGAAACCACACCATCTATCAACTTACCCGGTAATTAACTTATTTGGTTTAGCTAACCAAATTTGCTCAGTTCAAGCCGTTCAGCACAAAACCCCAAAGGCCCTGTTTGATTCCAAGATATAAAAAAAGTGGAATTAGATATTATATACTGTGTGATCTACATATCCCATGTTTGTAATTTTTTTTAGAGAGGATATAATATACTATGGGATTGTATATCTCCCAAAATTGGAGGATATACAGTACCACCATCCCCCCATTATATCATATTTATTGAATTTAATTTAATATAATATTATTGAATTTAATTTAATATAATTTTTGAATTTCATATAATATAATTTTTTTTATCATTATCAGGTTGACATTAATATAATATAATTTATTTTTTGTTTGGAAAAATTATTGAATTTAATATGAATATTTGATTTGTTCCAATAAAAAATAATATGAATTTTTAATTAGTTTATTTGTATTAATTCTCAATTTTTAATTTGTTTATTTGCATTAGTTCCAATATGGGTATTTAAAATATATTATGAGGGTAATCTTGAAAATTACTTGTTTATATCCTATAATATATTTTGTAAAATAAATATGGATAATACATATCTAGTCTTATATATCAAGTCAACAAACATAAATTATGAGATATATTATCCAATACATATATCATATTTATTATATATCTTGACTAAATCTCACATCATATTATTATATCCTTCATTTTATATCAAGTGAAGCAAAAAGGGCCAAACCTCCCTGTTAATCTTAAGGGAAATATCACAACAGTGGAGTATAGAAAACATAATTAGAAATTAAAGAAAATTTTTATAAATATTAATAATTTAATTTATAATTTTTTTCTTTCAAGACAAAATTTGAGATCTTGACTCCCGTGTGCAGAGGCACCGAGTGTACATGCTTGCTAGAGAGCGGGGTGATGGATGAAATCACCGTTGTTGGAGGACAACCATGTAGCGGGATCCCAAAGTCAAGACATAATTTGGTGTCAAGATCAGCGAAATTAGGGTTTTTTTTTTTTTTTTTTCAATTAGGTTGATTATAAATAATACCCCCTCACACCTAGGTCTCTTTTAAGGAAGGCAAAAAAATAAATGGAGTTTTTTTTTAATAATTTTTTTTAAGAGTTTTATTTTATCTAATTTATATTCTTTTTGAATATTTTATTAGGTCTTATTTGATGTTAGAAGGCCAAAACACTTAAATCTCTCACTTTCCCATTAATGTTGATATTTAATATTGATTGTCATTATATCTTCACTAAAAAAAATACATTAATCACACACCACTATTTAATGTTGATATATATTACACACACAAAATTAAACATGATTCTTTATTGATTATTATTATGCTTTGGTAGTTTCCATGCATCGTTGATTGTCATTATGTTTTGGTAGTTCCCAGGTATCTAATGTTGACTGTACATGATGATGTGAATGTTCACATTAGATGACGTGAATGCGAATGTTTACATCAGATGACATTGTGATAAATGTGATATTAAGATTCACATCAGCATTACATCAAATTACACAACCACAAACCTCAACTTCCATTTTTTTTTTTTTTTAGATGGAGAAACCTCAACTTTCATTTGAATATAAACATGATTTGAATGTTCACATTAAAACATATAAAATATAGATATTAACATTATGAACATTAACATTTGTATTCACATTCATATATTTTAGTGTGAATATTCACGTCATCTGATATTAACATTATGAACATTAACATTTGTATTCACATTCATATATTTTAGTGTGAACATTCACATCATCTGAGGTGAACATTCACATTCACGTCATCTGATGTGGATATTCACGTCATCACGTACAGTCAACATTTAGATGTATTGGAACTATTAAAATATAATGACAATTAATAAAGAACCATGTTTAATTTTTTTATGTAATGTATATCAACATTAAATAGTGGTGTGTAATTAATGCATATCAACATTAAATATAAGGGTATAAAAGTACAAGAAAATAATGTAAATC